TTTCCTGTTTATTGTTGGATGCATTGGGTTTTTGTTTGTATTATTTGTTCTGCAAACTTGATACGATTGTTATCATAAACTGCCCTAAATCATTGGAAGGGTGGAGTGGAAATAATAAACATAGTTGAAATGTATGCAATTTATTACTGTTGTGTTCGAAGATCAGCATCCTCCACTTTATTGCCAGCAATATCCTCTCTTCTATGAACCTATAGCTTCTGCTTAAGTTTGTTTAATTATTTGAATTGCACACTTCTTGGCTCCAGTGCAGGGGTGTTCAACTACTCCTAGGTTCGAGAGGAGACTTGTAGGTCATAATGTGCTCAGTGCAGGAAATCCAGTTTTACAGCAGTATTGACAGATGGCTATCCATTTGAAGATTTTCAGTGAGGGACAGCCCTTCCAACCCTGAACTAATTTGTCCTATTACCAAGCTGCTGTTAAGTTACTGTGCACATGAAATCATCCATCCATTAGATCTAGTCTTGCCCTCTAGAATTGCAGAAAATTAGTCTTTGACCTCTTCTTTTCCCCTCTGTTTTTTGTATTTATAAACATACAAAACCCAGTTCCTTCTGTTTCTTTCAGGAGTCATTTTGTGGTCCCCTGCCCATTTTCATTGCCCTCATCACAGCCCCTTCAAATTTGTCTACATTGTTCTTAAAATGTGGCATCTAGAACTTGACACACTACTCTAGATGAAATCTAACTAAGGTAGAAAAAGAATGGAACTTTTTCTTCTTCTGACTTGGAAATATAACTTTGTGTGACTTACTCTGACTTGTTTTTTCAAAGGGTTTCAGTAGCGGTTTGGTGATCTTCTCTACATCAACCATCCATTACGAGCATGCAAGAGATAGTATTATTTATCTTTGCATGAAGACTGATGGCAAAAGTCTAAAACTTTGCTGAGTTATGTGTTCCTTGAGCATATCGGTACATTCAGGTAGGGCCCTTCCTTGGAGGATGAACAGGCTCAGCAATGGATTCTCAGCGTTGAATCATGCAAAGCATCGCAGAATTTTTTATTCTAAATGATAACTGTCACCGTGAAACATTACAGGTTTTAATAGTGTTCTACGCTTTCAGCTTGAAACATGGCGTTCTTTTCTGAAATTGTGCATGTGATTATTGAAAGCTTCATGGCAGTATAAAGTGCTGGTTGTGTGCCATCAGCGTGAAACTCATTTTCTTGTGAAAGGTCTTGCAAAGGCAGCTTTAACACCTAAAGCTATGTGAAATATAAGCACTTAAGAAAGTGATTTTTGTCTGCTTAACCCCCCCCCCAACAGTTACTTTAGAACAGAGTCTAAAGAGAGAAATGGAGAAATGTGGGGAAGACCCAGGTACAAAAATGCCTTTGGTGGCAGAAAGTACTGTCAAGTTACAACTGACTTATGGCGCCCCCTGTAGGGTTTGCAAGGCAAGAGGTGGTTTTGCTGTTGCCTTCCTCTGCATCATGACCCTGGACTTCCTTGGTGGTCTCCCATCCAAATCCTAACCAGGGACAACCCTGCTTAGCTTTTGAGATCTGATGAGATCAGGCTAACCTGGGCTATAGATTTTCAAAACTGTAACTTGGGAATTTTCTGCTGGTTTGATCTGGTCAGCCACTGTATCATTCATAGCAGACCTCTCAAATAACAAGTAAGTCCAACACTTTGAAGACCTGGAACAATCCACTATAAGAACTGCAAACTAAGTATGGATGGACAAGGCAGCCAGCAGGGGTTGCTATTAAAACATTTTCATGTATGATACCATAGCTCTCCTGTTGTGGTAATATCTGATCTATTATTGGAGGAAAGAGGATAGGGGATAGGAGAGGAGAAAGTGAAACTAAGGCATTTGTAATGCAAATGAGCACTCTAGCCAAGAATGAATTTACAGATACTTTACAAACCAGTGGAAGCAAGAGTTGCTTTAAACATCACATGCAGAAATATTTCTAGTTTGAATCCCATTTTTAGAGAAAAGACAAGGGAATATATGCCCTTCTGTGTTGACAGAACATGCATGGTTAATAAAAGAACTAAAAAAAGAAACATAGCGGTGCCTTTGCTGCAGAGAAAGAGGGTTATCCTGCTGGTGATAACTTTTTTGCTGTTGGTTTCTGAAGTGTGATGCCATTTTTTTTACTAGTACCTGTTTTGTTCAAGTGACGGAAGAATATTCCTGATATTGTCAGTTTTCAGAAATGAAGTAAATGAATCTTTCCAGACCTGTAGATGATTTTCTAGGAAATGAGTAATGAGTAAAATGAAGTAAATGAATCTTTCTAGACATATAGAGGACTTTCTATGACACGAGTCTGTCGGTCTGTCCATCTATCCACTACTTACGAAAATATTTCAATTTCAATTTATTATTACGGGTCTATATGATCGAAGTCCTGACCAAAAGAGAATGCAAAAGGGGTAAAATAGGTACATAAAATTGACATAAAATATGACAAGTACATAGTCACAATCAGTAAACATATAAAACCCAGGCATAGCCCAAAGAATAAAAAAGACCTAACTACACTTGGGGCGTAGCCAACTAACTAAAATCCTCTGAAGATTGAAAATCGGTGTAGGTGTTTGCAAAGATGGTAAAGCTTTCAGTGTTTCTTGAGAGCGGCAACCTTAGCCAGGAACCGTGCCACGTTAGCTGTTATCAGTCCATCGGCATTTGAATCAGATAGCAATATTGAAAGCACCCAAGGTTGCAAGGGAAGATTCATCTTCGTAAGAATAGGAATGATATATATCCCTCTATCTTGAGTCCAACGGGGACAGCGAAACATCAGATGGCCTAAAGTTTCAATTTCGCCAGAGTTGCACAGACAGAAAATATTTCATGAATCTAAGTAGGCTCTGACTCTTGGAACTTTGTTGGAGAGCCAGTTTGGTGTAGTGGTTAAGTGCGCAGACTCTAATCTGGGAGAACCGGGTTTGATTCCCCACTCCTCCACTTGCACCTGCTGATGTGACCTTGGGTCAGTCGCAAGCTCTGGCACAGCTGTCCTTGAAAAAGAGCAGTTTCTGTCAGAGTTCTTTCAGCCCCACCCACCCCACAGGGTGTCTGTTGTGGGGAGGGGAAAGGAAAGGAGTTTGTAAGCCGCTCTGAGACTCCAAGTGAAGGGCGGGGTATAAATCCAACATCTTCTTCTTCTTCGTCACAGTTAGTCTGTGAGGATGCACAAGATTGTTTATGGTGATTAAAATTGTTTAATTGTTGCTCGAGATAGTTCTGAATGGCAAAGAACCTTTTCCGTGAAAATTAACCACCCTAGAGATGAAGGAGGCCCACCTGCTATCCTATGGGTATGACACACAGATGCAGTTCAGGGCAGACCTCCTGTCCTTTCCAGAGCAGAAGCACTGCATAGCTTTTCCTGTGCCTGCAACAGAAACTGAGCATTTCCGTATGTAATGCTAAGAAACACATCTGCCCATCTCTCACTTCTTCCAAAAGAGTAGGCAAGTTAGTTTCCGGGGAAACAAACACAACAAGGAGACCTGCAGATCCTTCCCAGGTTTATTGTGGCATCAGCTCCCACATATTCAGATCTGGTGGGCTCGAGTCTGTGAAAGCTTATCCCACAACAAATCTGTCCTTTGATGTGCCAGGAGACTTTCTCTTTGCTTTCACTTTTTTGCGCGTTTCACACATGTAAACCTGGGAGAGAATTTGGATGGAAAACGGAACAAACTTCACAGCTGGCGCCTGCGCCGGGAAGTATTTTAAAGCGAAACAGCTGCGCTCCCAGCCCTTATTTTCTTTTGCAAACGTAACAAGCAAGAAGCGAGCTGCGTACACGAAAACAGATCCAAGCCAGCTACATCTGCTGAAACTAACCGGCCACTAGCTGCCTTTGAGTACGTTGTTCCGAGCACAGGGGTGAAGTTATACTTACTTGCCTGCCGGGGGCGGGGTGGGGAGACTGCCTTACCCGCTACCCCCTGGAATAAAGAGATTTGGGTTAAAGGGAATCGCTCTACCTGGAAGAGGGGAGGAGGGAGTGACCAGCCCCGTAGCTAGGGAATTCTTTGTGAGGGGGCCTTGGGGGGGCCACCAGCTAATTAAATGGAAGTACAGTGCAGGTGGTAGGTTGGAGCATTTAGGGGGCAGCCTAGGAGAGAGGGGGCCCAGAAGAAACACTAGGGGGCTGGGCCCCGTGGGCCCCATGTTAGCTACGGGCCTGGGAGTGACCCGTTTGGAGTGCCATCCACTGCCTTCCCGCCCGGCGGGCTGGTGTTCTCCGGCGGGGCTGGACGGGGAAGGCGACCGTGCCCCAGTGGCATCAGGGCAGTGAAGCGGCAGCTCCCGGCCGGGCTGCTTCACTCACTCGGGGGCCTGCGGGCGACAGACAAAGGCAGGCGAGAGGAGAGGAGGCAGCCCGTGCCGGGGAGGAGGCGACGAGGCCGCCTAGCCACCGCTAGCCTCGAGGGCGAAGCCGGGCTCCGAAGCCAGGAGGCGAGGCGCCGGGGGTGAGCGTCACGTCAAGCCGGCTGGGGAGGAGCCGGAGGTGGGAGCCTCGAGGCGGCGAGAGCGCCACTCCACGCCACGCCACTCCACGCGCAGCACAGTCGGGCAGAGGAGGCTGCTGTGGCGAGCGCTGCCGCCTGCCCGGGCGCTGCGCTCGCTCGCTCGCTGGCCTCGCCAGGGGAAGGGGAGCGGAGCCTCGGAGAGCCCGGGGTTCGCCAGGGCCGCCCCTCTGCCCCTCTCGCTGCCTGCTTGGCAGCCGGGGGAGGGAAGGAGTCCTCGCGTGCGCCTGCCTGCCTGCCTGCCTGCCTGCCTCTCAGGCGGTGGGAAGTTTTCTTTTGCCTCCGGGGGGTCCCCGCGGTCTCCCTCCCGAGCTCGGCTTCTCCCATAGAAGGGTGTACTTGGCTGCCGGGCGTGGGGGGCTCTGAAGGGGGTTTCAGTCCCGGGAAGAGGGGAAGGGTGGGTGTGCGGGCCGGTCGGGGGCTTGGTCTGCCCTCTTCCCCAAGTTTTGGGGGGGGGCTGCCCAGAGCATGGACCCGGACGCAGCCCTCCCGGCGCTCCCCATGAACCAGACGGACGGCGTGGGCTCCCTCGCCTCCTGGCCCCCCAGGGAGCAGCCCCTGGCGGAGGAAGAGGAGGGCGCCAACTTCCTCTCGGACATTGGCGTCGAGAACTTCATCACCTTGATTGTCTTTGGCCTCATTTTTACCTTGGGCGTGCTGGGCAACTCGCTGGTCATCACCGTGCTGGCCAGGAGCAAGCCCGGCAAGCCTCGCAGCACCACCAACATATTCATCCTCAACCTGAGCATTGCTGACTTGGCCTACTTGCTCTTCTGCGTCCCTTTCCAGTCGACTGTGTACATGTTGCCCAGTTGGGTGCTGGGCACTTTTATCTGCAAGTTCATCCATTACTTCTTCACCGTCTCTATGTTGGTCAGCATTTTCACCCTCTCTGCTATGTCTGTGGACCGCTATGTGGCCATTGTGCACTCCCGGCGTTCTTCCTCCCTGCGGGTGTCCCGTAATGCGCTGCTTGGGGTAGGGGTCATCTGGTTGCTGTCCATTGCCATGGCCTCTCCTGTGGCTCACTACCAGCGCATCTTGCACCAGGAAACCATGAACCAGACTTTCTGCTGGGAAATGTGGCCCAGTCAAGAGCACAAGAAAGTTTACGTGGTCTGCACCTTTGTCTTTGGATACCTGCTGCCTCTGCTGCTCATCTCATTCTGTTATGCAAAGGTGGGTGCATGAAGAACAAGCTGTATACAAAGTACTTGTGTATAAGAGAGTCATACAATCGTGTGTGGGAAATGGGATGCAACTCCAACAAAATGTAAAATAGTAGGGCATATGTGGGTTATATCTTGCCTACAGACACCTGTCAGAGTATGTGTATAGTATAGACGATGTGCATATACTATACCATACTACACTATACTATGTGCATAGTATAGACTATGTGTGTGAATGGGAATAAGCATGTGCTGTGACCGATGAGCAGTTAATGTTAAGTGGAAAAGATTACAGTGTGTAAAGACATAATCTTCACTTTGAATGCTAAGGTCCATTGAATGCAAAACAAAATGTGTTTGAGAAAGCTAGGCTCTGAGAAGCTGTGTCTTACATGTGCGATATGTGCAAATGAAATATGTGTGTGAGTATGTGCATACATGTATGTGTAGAAATGGAGGAGGCGTATAGGGCAGATCTTCACGGACAAAGGTACAATATATAAGCAACAGGCTTATATATCGTTATATACAGGCTAGTTCATGCAAAGGTGTAGCAGAAAGCTTTGCATATGTCTTAAGTTCTGCAAGGGCAAAAGTACAAATAGTTATTTATGCTGTAAATAAATAAATATGTTTATTTGTGCAGGGGCAGGCTCAAGGACTTGATAGTGGCATGGCTGGAAGTATTATGTAGTATTTTACAACCAGGGTTCCCTCTAATCTGAGTTAGTGTGAGCTAGCGCACAGTTTTTTAGCCTCCAGCTCACACATTTTTGTCTTAGCTCAGGAAGGAGGGCTCCAGAGCAAACTAATTTATGCAGCAGCCAAATCGCTCACTCACAACTTTAATGCCAGTAGCTCACAAAGTAGCATTTTTGCTCACAAGACTCCACAGCTTAGAGGGAGCATTGGTTACACCTGAAACATCTTCCCAGACCAGTAGTAAGTTGCATTTTGTTCAAAATGACTTCAGTGTTCCAAAAAAAATTCAGTCGGAGCTGTCCCATCACATCATGGATGCTCGCCTGTCCTGCTTCATATGCTTTGATTAGAACATTCTATCCTGATCCAAAAACTTTGCAAGCAGTCATTGGCTGCTGAATACAAAGCAGGTGTCTGCTGCTTCATGTTAAGATCTCTCACCAATGTGTGACAGTGTGGATCACTTGTTGGGAGAAAGGCAGAAGCACATACCTGACAGCTGTCCCCCAGGCCTTCAGGTGCCAGTTGTACTGACCATATCAAAAGAGAAGAATGGTCTGTTATCAGAAGCCTTAGACCTTTTGATGGATTGGGAAGAGGGAATGCAACCCAACACTATTAAAATCATTGGAGGTTTTGGGAGAGGGACTGTATTCTGGGCAAGCAACAAAGATTCCAGCTGGGAAATGTATTCCTAACACTGCATCCCAGATAGTGATGAAGCTTTGCTATTGACTTCAGTAGTTCAGGACTATATGGTGTTCTAACAACTATTAGGTGATCATTGTGTTGTTTTTTTCAAACCACCTGTCTGATTGAAATAGCAAGGATCAATAGAAATGATGGGAGTTGAAGGGACAGAGCCACTGCAGAGCCAAAACTGATCACTCAATTTCTGATCAAAGTACCTCTCTATGTAGTCAATTAATTTGTATCCTTGAATAAACAGTAATGTAGGTACCGTGCCATCAAGTAAATTGGCTTTATAAACATTGGCCAGTCACTTTAATCTATCAGTAGCCAAAGTGTCATTGAAATATGTAAGTCTATATCATAAAATATAATGAAGTTTGGAATTGGTTCCTTAATTTAAACAAACTTACGGGTAAAAAACACTTTACATTTTGCCATTAGCCCACATTTCACGATTTACTGACTGTGTTAAGCAGGAAATGATGACAGGCATGTCAATTTATGCTTTTCAAAATGCCTGTCAGTCATTTATGATTCCACATACAAGTTTACATTGATACCGTTTAGTTTCTATAGCAGAAACAAGTCCATTTGAAATAACAGAATAATTCAAACTTGTTATTAGTCCCTGTGGGTAGCACGGAATACCCTCAAAGGCTCAAGAGGATATAACATGAAAGATACAGCATATGGTGTGTGTGTGTGAGTGTGGGAGGTATGTCATCAAGTCACAGCCAACCTATTGCAACTCTGTAGGATTTTCAAGGCCAGAAACAAACAGAGGTGGTTTGCCATTGTCTGGTTGTGTCTAGCAACCCTGGACTTCTTTGGTGGTCTCACATCTAAGTATTAACCAGGGCTGACCCTACTTAGCTTCCAAGATCAGACAAGACCAGGCTAGTTTGGGTCATCCACGCCAGGGCATGCAGATATACTGGGAACTAATTCTTACTGTATATGGGAGGGGAGAGATTTAAGTATATATTGGAATAATGGTAGCAGAGCAGTAGAGATGCTGCTTTATTGTTTTTAGACAATTTTGGAACGGACTGTAACGTTACTGTATCACTACTGAAGTGTTCTAGTGTTCTAGTATTCTTATCCTAAAATCTAACTGCTGAAAGTACAATTCCCTATCAACAAGCCTTGCAAATCAGTCTAGAAAAGGTTTTTTGTTTTGTTTTTGTCCACAAAAATGTCGTTAGCCTTACTGTCCCCCACTATGACTATTTTAGTCATTTTTGATCTAACTGGAAAAAGAGAACAAGCCTTTTAAAAACTTTCCTGCCTGGTTGCCTGCAGCCATTCTGACTTGGACAGGTAACCAAACAAGTCGATGTTAACCATTTTAGTAGTAATTTGTTTGTTTAGGCCTCAAGTCACTTGAGACATACTTAAATCAGAAAATGTCAGTAAATACAAACAATCATTTACTATTAAAACAATCCACTCTATGGGAGCCAGTGTGGTGTAGTGGTTAAGAGTGCCAAACTACTACTTGAGAAACCTGGGTTTGAATCCCCACTTGTGCCATGGAAGCTCACTGTGTAACCTTGGGCCAGTTATACACTCCCAGCCCAGCCTACCTCACAGGGTTGTTGTGAGAATAAAATGGAGGAGAGGAGAATGAGGTAAACTGCTTTGGATCCTCATTGGGGAGAAAGGTGGGATAAAATGAATTAAATAGATGGAGTTTTGCCATTTGTGCACTGCTAGAAAATCAAATGAAGCTACCTTTATAGTATTGTTCCTCTCAGGACTGGTAAGCAGGGATTTTATTTTCTGTTGGCTGACTCATCATAAATTCCTATGAGAAACTTCTCCCTTTGTTTATGTTTCACCTCCTTACAGATAGACCAGCTCAATAAGTAATAGGGAACATCTTTATATCCTCATTGCAGATGCAATTTTGCTGGTTATACAGAATATTTCTAAACTGCTCATCCAAGATAGCTGATTGAATCTTTGGAAACCACAGGATGCTCAAAACTCTCCTAACTGGGTGTAGTCTTCTAACTGGGGGACTTCTGGGGAACATGGCAACGTGAAAAGGAGCACTTCTAAAGGTCCCAGTCCTCTCTCACTGTGGGGAAAAATGCCAAGGAAGGAGGGAATTTATTTCTCTATCCTGACCTCTCCCCCACTGGGGAAACCCAACTGACAGGTGAACCTACAGGGGGGCTTGATCTATCAGGTTTCCACAGGGGTTCTGAAAATACCAAGGACAACGAAAACAAGTCTCTCTGCCAATAAGGTCAGCTGATTCCAGCTGACTGTTATTCCTTTTTCTCCTATTCTTTTTATCAATTTGAAATTGGCAATCTTTGCAATATTTTGGACTTCTGGAACTGCGATCGTAATTGGAAAGATTGACAGACTACCAGCAGCATTTGAAGTCAGCATTCAAAAACAGTGGTAAGAACAATCTTTTCAAAAAATTATGATCTCTGTCAAGCAAGACTTCTGAAAAAGTTAGATCCTTAATTACAGAGATTTATGTGGCCCATTTAAGGAATGCCCTTGGCTGAACCCCACTTGGCTGCTTTTTAAGGAAATCTCAACTTCAATAATCAGAACGAAAATACTAATTAAAGTTCTCCTTTCTTCTTTTTGTGGAATGTATAATTGGTTATTTTGTTTCTTTTTTCTTTTCTTTTTTCATTCTTCTATCTTTGATTAAGGGCATTTAATTGAAAGCTTTTGTGTTCCGACTGTGATGTGGCATAGTAGGGGAAAAATTCAATGATTGTTTTAACCAAACAGTCTGCTCAATGAAAAGATAAGATTTATTTTTATCTATCATCTATCATCTATCATCTATCATCTATCTTCTTCTATCTATCTATCATCTATCTTCTTCTATCTCTATCATCTATCTTCTTCTATCTCTATCATCTATCTTCTATCTATCTTTCATCTTCTTTCTTCTTCTATCTTTCTTCTTCTATCTTTCTTCTTCTATCTTTCTTCTTCTATCTTTCTTCTTCTATCTTCTTCTTCTATCTTCTTCTTCTATCTTCTTCTTCTATCTTTCTTCTTCTATCTTTCTTCTTCTATCTTCTTCTTCTATCTTCTTCTTCTATCTTTCTTCTTCTTCTATCTTCTTCTATCCATTTACCCTCATCTACCCTCATCTATCCATCTATCTATCTTCTTCTATTCTATCATCTATCTATCATCTATCTATCATCTATCTATCTATCTATCTATCTATCTATCTATCTATTGGACACCTTCCTTGAAATCCTTCAGAATAAAAATCAAAAAGAAGACAACAGATTAATTTGTATTATGTTTTTTTCTAACCCCCCCCCCCCTGGATACTTAGATCAGAGGTGTCAAACTCATTTCATACAAGGGCTGGATCTGACACTTTGTCGGGCCAGGCCATGTGTGCCATAAAACGTAACACAAGGTACTGGTGATATAAACTTTATAAAGATGATTTCAGATGCCAAATGGCAATAGCAGGCATGATTGGATTAGGTATGATATGCAGATGGGTGGAGATATCAGCATTGGTAATGAGACAGGGAGCCTAGGTCTCAATTTGGTACAGGAGGATGGAAAGGATAAATGGAAATAAGTCTGAAGAAGTGAGCAGTGATGCAC